TTTTCCCTGAAACTGACTCTTCCCTTTTAGAGCCCTATGGACACACCCATTTTTTCTGAGCTACGTGGCTTCACAATTTCCACCTACCAAATTCATCAAAGCCAACCCAGCCTCCATAATTCCATCATACTTCAACCCCATTGTCTACCCCAAAATCTCTGCAGCTGTCACATCAGGGTTTTTTTTTAGCTACATGTTCTCAGCTTCACTGATATCATCCCTTCTCTGTTTCACTGCTAGAGTGAACCGGATGAGACACAGTCCAGAAAATCTGGGCAGAGTCCAACGTTGGGTTCCAAATGGGAAAGGCTTTAAAATGCTAGCGGAAGAAGCGGCATGCTGCAAGAGGAGAAAGACTTTCTGCTGGAGCTTTGGATAGAAGGGGCTGTTCCCACCCAGCAGCCTTGGAGAGCAAGCTGGATGAAAATGCTTCAAGAGGACAAAGGAAGGCCAGCCAACAGGGGGGAGATCTCAGGGCCAGGATAGCAGGCATGAGTAGAAAACTAAAACAAATGGAAAAAAAAGAAAGCCAAAAATGGGGTATGGAACTAAGATCATGCTAGGACAGGGGATTCCCAGGTTCAGATCCCTGCACAATTAAGGTTTTTATAGGACCACTGATATATGTTATCAGTTTTGTTAATTCATATGGTTATTATGAGTATAAAATGCTATCCAAAGCTCTTTGGAAGAAGGAGAAAATAAAATGGCCTAAAACTGGTAAAAGAGGATGGCTAGCACAACCGTGCAAATACAAATGGTAATAAAAACTTGAAAAATTGCAAGGATATGATTCCAGGATCCAACAGCAAATTGACAGAGATTTTAATATTCTTACTGGAGCCTCAAAATGGAGGGTGGTAGCTGGATCAATGGGACTCAAGAAGAGAGGCTGGTTAGCAGTAAATATCTTTAATTAAATTCTGACCAACTCACAGTACAATGGTATAATTGAAAGCATCTCTGAAAGCTCAGGGAGGGGTTTACTAATAGCTAATGCCATCTTCAAAAACTGATTTACAGGGCAGAATTAATGTCACGAAAGGATTTTAAATTCTTAAATTTAACATGCACTATTTGCCTGCCTGCTTATTATAAAGATCCAGGAATTTCTCTAATTTCAAGAAGCTCGAGAAAGAGCTTTAAGTATGTCATGTCACAAAAGCCAGTAAACTAACTGCCAAGCCACCAAATCTGACTGACTTCAAGCTGGACTTCTCCCTACAAAATCCAGCCACACACCACATTTCTGGAGAGATCAAAATTACACGATTCTTGTCTTTAAAAACACAGCAGAACTACTTCTGTTACGGGTGAGTGTCTTTTGTACTCTCTTTTTAGAGAAGGGATTTTTCCTTAGGAGCAAATCCGTGAAAATTGTTGCAACACTCTGCCCAATTTTTTAGAAATTGATGCTTTAGATATGACCCTATATTTAATTCAATGAATTTTCTTTCATGTTGATCCCCTTACCTGCTCCCTAAGCTGTTGACAGCAGTTTCATGCTGATCACTATTACTCCTACAACTCCAAATAGCCTGCTCTCCTAGAGATATGGCTTTTTCATGTTAGATCCCATGAATATAATTTACTCCTTCTCCAACTCTCCCAATTAGTATTGCTACTTAGGCAGCATTATTAATTTCACAATTTTACAGTATGTGGGAAGAGGAAATGACAGGCCACTATCCTAAAAAGCTGACAGCTTGATTTCTGACAGTGGGAGCAGAACAAAAGAATGATTATATGTGATATATAGTCTTTGCTTGCTTTTAACTCATTTTGCAGGAAACCTTTCCTCCTGTTTCAGATTTACTCTTCTGAGTATAATTTTTTTTTTCACACAGACAATGCTGTGATCATTTCCCATTGTTGTTTCTCCACTTCCTACCACAAACCCTACTATATATGTTCTTCTAGCTGCCTCTTTATTGTTAGCAAGTGGATGTACAGTGATTTATAGCCAGCGTCTCTGGCTAAACAGTCCATGAGGCCCTAGCTTCCAAGTTGGAGTCAGGGAGGAGGGTCTCAGAATGCTTGAGCCTTGAAAGGGAAGGAAGTAGGCAAAAGAACAGCTGGAGACCTTCTGCTGTGGAGGAAAGAGAAGAAGAGGAGTGAGCTTCAAAGAAAGAAGACCTCCCCCTATGAAGCACATGGTATGTGTATGCATATGGTAGGGAGGAAAATAGGAGTGTTAAAAGGGGAAGAAAACCAATAGGCTGGAAAAGAGTAAAGCACAGATGAAGGCTTTTAATATCCCCAGAAAGCCATGTCTACCATCTTCCTCTCCAGAAATGTGTATGAAACTCATGGCCCAGCAGGAGATGACAGGAACTAGCTAGCTGTCCTTCTGCAATCAATGTTGCCGATAATATGGGCAGCTTCAAAGACATTGCAATAGAGTTGGAGAAATAGGGGCAGATCAAGTTCAAAGCACAGAACAGGGTTGGCTTCAGCTTCTGAACCGGAAGTCATATCCTGCCAAGAAGACCAAAGAAAATGAAAGACACTATCTTGCACATTGTCTTTGGAACGAGGAAATAAAAAATGTTGGTGGCACCTCGCTGGCTCTCTCTAGGTTTGGAAACCAAGCATAGGAAGGCCAAGTTAGAACTTGGATAGAAAGCTATCTGTGATTATGAGAGCTGTAGGCTAAACTGGGAAGTAAAAAAAAAAAACCCCACCCAGGAAGAAGGCAGTGGCCAACTATGTCATTGCTGTTGTCATAAGAACTGTATGGCAGTGTCTGTAAAATCACTAGGGGTCAAACTTAACTTGGAGAATTTACTTTTTATCACAGTATGCTGAAATTTCTTGCTGAAAGTATACCTTATGGGTGCACAAGAGCTTTCAAACAACCTGAGTGGGGAAAGGGAACCTCAACTATGACAGAAGGAGTAATTTTCCTGGCAGATAGACAGGGAGAGATGTAGCGGGGCTCAGGAGATTCAAGAAACTGTTTTCAGAAAGGGAAAACCTTGCATTAAAACAAAACAAACATTGAAAATGTGAGGGTCAATATGCAAGGTAAATAATGCCTCTTGGGAATCTTAGAACTTTAATCACTTTCATTTAAATTCTAAATAAGTACTTTTCTATAATCTTTCCCAACTATCACCCAGCTGCATGGGAATAAGAAGGTAATAGCCATACATCTGGAGGGCATCCAGATGGTAAAAGCTGCTATGGACACAAATGCAGGATTATTTAAATTATTTTAAAAAAAAACCACTAAGTCCACAGAGGTGCCTTAAAAGATATCACATCATGAAGTCTACAGAGGGTGGAATCCAGCCATCTACAGTCACTTATGTCACACAGATATAGTACAACATGCTTTCTATTGTTCCTTAATTTACTTATCTAAATAAAAGAGAAAATGCTGGATTTCACCAGTAGGGAACTAATGCTGAAAAAAAGAGACCTATTCAAAACCCCCGTAGAGGATATAGGCCACAATTGCTTTAAAGATTAAAAAGCAGTCCCCCTCCTTTTTTTTAACTGCATAATAGGTATCTGATTAACTTATAATTTCAGGCTAAATGCAGTATTGGTACCTTGATTTATGGGACTACCTGAACTTCTCCAGTCAAGTCTGCACCTCAGAAAATACGCATACTAAACTGCCTGGGAATAATCTTCAGTGGCCTGTGCCACCACGGACAAATAAAAGTTGCTTTACATCTCTGAAAATTATTAATGAGATATAAAAGGAAGATTCCTTCTGTTTCAGAGCTGTGAATACCTATTAGCTAGAAATATGAAGCAGCAAGTCTCATTATTAAAACCTGCCTTATTCCATCCTGTTTTTTGGGGGGGGGGCGGGGGGACTTCAAAAATGGAGCAGATGCCAATTGTGTTGTGTCTTTGAAAGGAGATGGCTTCAGCAGGCAGCCTTCAAATCAAGGTTGCTCTGTGAAGGAGTAGCCTCAAGGCTCTCGACTAGCTTGAATGGATTCTATATGGACTCATATAGGCTTCCTCTTCCACAGAGAAGAAAAAGGCCTAAAACACCCAAAATCCGCTCTTCTGCAGACCCAGGCCTCAGCAGCTGGGATGAAAGACTGCCACAGTTTGGAGCCCAGCAGTTCTTGAATTGAGATACCTAGTTCTGGATGCCTCCCTTTACTCCTCTCAGACCCTCCTCCTCCTCCTCCCCCTCCCAGTCCACCAGTCCCTCCCCTCAAGCCTTCAGACCCCCGCCTCCCTCCTTGCCCGGCCCCACCTTCCTTTGTGTAGCGGATCCCTATCGGAGAACTTTCACCCCCCACAAAAAAAACGGGGAAAAGAGTGGAAGGCAAGGCCACGAAGGGCCCTCGGATGACCGCAGCAGGGGGCAGCCTTCCAAGATGACGGCCTGGGGCTGTCTTGTGCGGGGCTACGGCCGCGGGGCTTAGGATAGCTCAGGCAGCAGAGCAGGTGGAAGGAGCGAAGGGGATCCGCCCCCGCCCCCCGAGCCGGAGACAAAGTGCCGGGGAGGGGGCGTCCGGACAAGGGCGCAACTGCTAGGACGTGCCTTCAAGCCTCAAAGCGAAGGCTTCCTGGGCTGGTTCTCTCGCCCAAACGGGGCACTGCCGTTAGGGGCGTCTTTTTCAGCTCCGCTCCGACTACAAAAGACCGTCGGAGCATCTTCAGCCAGTGCCCTCCTTGCATCCCACAAAAAAAAAAAAAAGCCGTCGCCCCACCTCGCCCGGCAAGTGGCGTTGCCAATGCACCACTTGGGGTTGCTAATGGCTTCTTCCTCCGGCTGCGTCCGCCCCCCAGTCCCACGTTCAGGAGCATCTTGCCGGTGGGAGGCGCGGAATTCCCTTGATCATCCTCCGGGGCTAAACGGGGAGCGTGCAGGGAAGGAGCGGGAGAGCGGTTTCCCAGAGAAAGGCAGGCAGGCAGGCAGGCAGACACCGCCCACGCCCCCCTGTACAAAGCGGCTGGAGCCACCGCCCCCCTCCCCACCGAGGGGACAAAGAGCTGGATCGCCCGCTCCCCGGGGGGGGGCTTACCAGTCCGTGGGGCTGTCTTCCCCGATCACCTCCTGGTATGAGGCCAGCAGCTCCAGGCGGTTCGCGCTGAAGCTCACGCCAGCCATGCCGGCGCCGACGGAGGGATGCTGCTTTCGGGAGCAGGGAGCAGTGCCGGAGCCGCGCTCGGATAAGACAGGCCGCCTGCCTGCTTGCCTCGGAGACACTGCAGCAGCGGCGAGGGAGCCGGGCGGGCGAGGAGCAGAGGAGGCTCCGCCTGTGCGCGCACTGGGTCCTAGCGCCGGGTGCACGGGCTCCCCCTCCCGCCCCTGCCCCGTCTCTTCAGCACCAGAAACCGCCGCCTCCCGGTTTCTCCACACGTGGGTGCGCGGAATCGGCCATCTTGCATCCCTTACAGCCTTGGCCAAAGGGTCCGGCCAGCACGAGAGAGAACGAACTTGCCCTTCCCTTCCCACCCTGCGTGCCTTCAGGTGTAAGTTTTGGGCGTAAGAAATGGGCGCTCCCAAAAGATCTCTTGTTCCTTACGGGCACCCGCTCGGAACTGTGTATAGAGAGCCTCAGGGTGAACTTCACCCAGTAGCGGCACTCTGGACAGACACTAATAGGATGTTTTGTATAAAACAACTTTCGGGTTGTGATCTGACTCACGATTACCGGCCAGAAAGGAACTGACCGGTTTACTTCTTCCAAACTGCATTTTCTGGTCCAGATCACAGGAAAGTATGAACTCTTTAAGGAAAACGGAAACTTCCCCAATCTTGCACCTTCTGGGGTGTTTCCCATTGCAAAGGCCATCGGGCGTGATGGCTGTGGGGGATGGTGGTAATCATATCCAGCACATCTGGTTATCATCAGGCTGGAAAAAGACTTGAGCAGGGAAGCCATCCTCAGCCCGTATGATTTACACCAGAACAATTGCATCAATACAGACAAGAGCAGCTGCGTATTTTGTTTCCCCCCCCTTCAAATAACACAGATCCCCACTGTATTCTTTTTTTAAAAGTTAAGTACTGCTTGCTGCATTTGGAAAAATGCAGGATGCTTACCCCTACCAGATTTTTCTAACACACTCTTCAGCACTTCTCACAGGCATTAGATGTCTGCCTGTTTGAAAGATGTCTGCTTCCTGTTTAGCTTCTCCAGGTCATTTTCTGGGACTGCTAAGTCAGACAAAGGCTCGTTCCCATAATGAGTGGGTGGCAGCTGGGCTGTCATGGCACCTTGCAAAATCCATCAAGTGAGAGGTTTTTCTCCCCCCTTAGCCCTGCATTTCTTTTCTAGTCACCTGGCTTCTCCAGCTAAAGCCCATGTGGTTTCTAGTGGCAATGCAATCAAACTGAGCTGCTGTAAAGATGACCTGGACAAGGTGAGGAGTAGAGGGAAACTAATTGTCCCTGCGTGACATTGCCCATTTGTTTCATCTGTGCTTTCCAAAACTCAACAAGCAAATCTTTTCCCCACCCCCTCCATAAAAACAAGTACAAAAAAACCTGCCAGAACCAGGGTCTGCCAAGTTACTGTATTCAGAAATATTTATAAAACAAAAATCCTAGGAGTAAAGGTCTAGTTAGTATTGGGGGGGAGGGGAACTCTGCACACAATATCATGGAAGTTAAAAAAATATCCTAGGAGATGGTAATGGCAAACAACTATATTGCTGCTCCAAAAATATGTTTATATCATCCCCAGGAGTCAAATTCAATTTGAGGTGGCCTCAGCAACAATTATGAATGAATGGAGTTTAACAGAGGTTTCCATGTATCCCAAACTCTTGTTATCATCTATCTTACAGTCTACTTATAGATTAACTTTCCTTGAAACAATGATCCCAAGGCATTGATCTAGTGTGTGCTTTTGATGAGGCTTTGCTTCCCTAGAAAAATGTGTTTCATTGAAAAGTTACCTCATTACAATAAATCTCTCATAAAAATTAGGATCAATAATCATCAAAGGCACAAAGGGAACATCAAAAGAATCTCCAAAGTAGACACCAAAACTGAAACAATCACAGCAGACATATATACTATCTATATATGTCAAACAAGGAAGTGCAGAAAACACTTCTCAAGGTTGTGAAGCCTAATGCAATGATTCATTTAAAAGGATAAATAATTTGTAAATAGAAGAATTTACGGTGGAGGAGTGGAGCAAAAAGAGAAGCTTTCCTCATCTCCAAACAAAATTTGAATTATATGATACCTCAGCAAGTGCAGTGTTCCTAGGAATCCATCATAAACTTTGACTAAGTAACATTAGCACATAAGGTTTTGCTGACTCCAGTATCTTCCTTCTTTTGATCCCACTGTGGCTCTTCTTTATTTTTATAAACCCATGGGCAACCTTTGCACTAAACAGACTAGACTTGGGGGGTTTTTTTCCTCACCCTCCAGGACTGCTTATTTTTCACTGAACTATTCTATCAGCTGAAAAGAAACAATCTGTCTACTTAGCATAGTAAAAATATTCTGTCCACCTTCTTCCAGTTTAGGCCATTTCCTTATCATATTCCCAGCTCGCTAGTTGCCTCTTTTCAAAATAAAATATGTGGTTTCTGAATTGCAGCAATAGTAGTTACTCTCTTTTGAAATTCCCTCTAAGCACAATTAGGGGACAAGGAACAGAAAGAAAGCAACTGCACTGTGCTTTGAATGTCCATTATTTGCATCTGATTACTCTACTTCCAATGTTCCAAGTATTAGGAACTCCTAAACAATCAGAGCCCACAAGGACGAAGAATTAAAAGACATATTTTATTAGGGCACCAAATGTGGCAAGGAATCACAGACTCCTAGCTGAACAGCACAGTTCTGAGAAATACATTTAGAGCAAAACACAAATACTAGGTCTTTGGTAGGGGTTCTTTGGGGCCACCACTGGCCTCAGAAGCTGTGCGCTACAATATATATCAAGTTGTGTTCCTAGGTATAGAGTCCCAGGTTCATCTCATGATGAAGAAGCAGTTTTTGCTAGTGTGAAGAAGCTGGATCTTGAAACTCTTCTTTCCTGCATGGTATTTCGAAGTAAGCTTTTTCTTGCTCTGTGGAAACTTAACAACACAATCCTTTAAATAAGCCACTCACTTTCTGTGGCAGGGGGTCTCATATTTTTATTACTAGCAAGTGGTTTGGAGGAAAAGAGATTTAGGGTTTGGGGATATATATTTTTTATTTGGAAAAAGCAATTGCATTGAGCAACATGGCTGGGAATAGATGTCTGTAGGACTTGGGAGTGGAAATACATGATACATAATGAACAAAAGGCAGAGCCAACCTGATTCTGAAAGTCTTTTGCAAATGCTTTCTCAGAGAAGGGAGGGCAGAGGGATGTTGGTAATTACATTGCAAAGGGGACAGAAAGTAATGCTAGTGAACTCTGGGGAAAGCTGCCCCCCCCCACTTTCCCCTGTAGCATTAATAGCAAGTTTTCACTGAATTAATGACTTCTAGGGGAGGCCAGCTGATGCTTCCTTTCAAGCATGCTATCATTTAGGATCCTTTACTAGGGAGAAACTTCTTGAGACTTTCTTTGGCTGAAAAGGACACAGAACTCTACAGTATCCTTCCCTAAGCTGGTGTCTAGAAGTCCTGGACTTCAACTCTCCAAATGTCTAGCAATTTCAATCACAAGTTGGATGGAGTCTGCAGGAGATAAAAGTCAAATACATATGAAGAACACCAGTTTAGGTAAAAATACAATAGTCGTAAAACCTCCCAAAGTACTAAAAGGACCCTGAGCATTTTACCCTTTTCCCTCTATGGGGAAAAAATGGTCAAGTGAGACATCTGGTCTGGGAGCTCTCTCAGGACAGGAAAGAGGGATGCAGAGTTTGGGCAGGCAGCAGCTTGAGCACTTAAGGTCTCCACCTCACACGTGGGAGAAAGCATGGCTCTTGCACAGTGGCTTGTCCTTTTTGGAATAGAAAGTCTTGCCTTCCAAATTGATCTGGCAGATCTGTGGGGAAAAAGACATTCTCCGTTAAATTCACATCAGTTCCTCACTCCCCCTCCCCTGATTTCAGCTTAGTAAGAAAGGCCTGGGTAGATGATAGAAGGGTGGGGGGAGAGAATCAGTCTGGAAAACTCTGCCTACTGCTACTATAAATGCACATTGCAGTTGCCCCTGAACATTCATTATAACTGTATGTCCTCATTTCCTCCAGGAGCTCTGCAACAGCAACCCTGCAAGGTAGGCTGGGCTGAAAAAGAAGACTGGCTCTACGCCACTCAGTGACTTTCCATGGCTATGGAAAGCTTTGAAAGGGTCTCTCGGCTCCTGATCCGACATCTCAGCTGTTGTGCTACGTTGGCTCTCCGTTATATTTCTTCAGCAGGAGACCTTCATGTTGCATAGCTCCAATCTCAATGCACAGGAAGAAGGAAGCACATCTGAAAATATGTCTTATGCCAGCCAGTCCTGCCCCTGGCTGGGAATAATAGCCTGCAGTTCTTTTAGAATACATTTCCCTGACGTCCAGCAGAAGTTAGTAGAATTAGATTAGTTAAAACTTGAGAGAGGGAAAGAGGGGAGAAACTGTCTTACCGCACAAACAAAGCAAGTGTCATGCCAACTGAAGCCCAGGGCCTCAAGGAAACGATCACCGGCGTCTATTTTGAAATCACAGCCACGGCACTTGGTTCCAAACATCTTGTCATAATCTTGCACAAAGGGGAGAGATAGGAGGACAGGAAAATGACATTATTCCCGAGCCAGCATTTTCAAACACAGTATTGTACCTAAGCTGGGGAAAAATGGCTTTGCTTGCACTGGCTCCCATAACGTGCATTTCCTATGGAAGAGAAGTTTGGATGGCTTGGTGAGAGGGCCAGGCCCCCAAAACATCTAGAGAGGTCCCAAAGCGTTCATATACTGCAGCTTTATTTTACTTAAGGAATGCTGAACATCAAAAACTCTCCATGGTTCCAGACTGGAGTCCTTCTCAGCCCAGAAGATTCTGAAAATTCAGCACAGGATCTTCTGGCACTGCTTTTCTAATTTGTTATTAACATGGCAATGCTTCAAAATAATTGACAGTTCATTGGTTCTTTCCAGTGCCTGCACTCCTCAAGTATACCACCAGCTCTACTTAACATCTTTTAGTCCAATCTACAAGTCTGCTATTTCCATCCTGGGTTTCCTTCTGCTTCTATTCCATTATTTGACCTCCCTCCCCCAGCTCCAGCTCCCTGCTATTATAAGCTAAGCTTATAGTCTAAAACAACTGTGGTGCTTGTTGGGCTAGAGATGGCCGACAATCCTCACACTCAAGTCAAGCAAGGCTACACATGCTATTAAGAATCCTGTGCACCATCCCCACCCATTTTCTGATGAAAGGCAGCTGCTTGTTCATCTGGGAGAATACCAGATTTGTTCACAAGCATCCAATAACGGAATGGAGGTGGGAAGAGTGAGCATTTGGTTAGTGAAATTACATCCCTCCCCCTATTTCCTAATGGAATATTCCAGAGCAGCACTGTTCAGAACCAGAATGAAAGGAGGGGGGGGGAGGAAAAAAAAACAACAATTCCCAGCATGCTTGTGATGCAGGTACTAAACTATCATCTCCATAGTAACCCAGCAGAACTTGTACTGCCCAGCAACCATCAACAAAAGGTGATCAAACCAGGGACAGAGGAGAATTGCACGGCAAATATTTCATTTTGCAAGCTCTTCCTGCTGCCCCAGGATAGAAAATCCAGGGCTAGCAATACATTGTATGATGTATGTTTTCACCCAAGGCTTTCCTTTTCGGTACAAGATACTCGGATGCTACCAGGACCAATCAGGACGCATTCCATCTCATCAGGCTGGAACGGCAGCTAAAGGCTTTCAGAAGGCTTGAAACGTGGAGCCGTCCCTCAATCATTCGGTATGCAGTACCTCTCTCGCAGTAGGGCTGCCCCTCTTCTATGTAGAAGGCACGATTGCGGATGGGTGTTCTGCAGGCAGCGCAGACAAAGCACTGAACGTGCCAGGTCATCTTCAGAGCATGCATAATTTCCTAAAGCAATACACAGGAATGTGAGTCACTCCAGTGAATGGATGCACTTTCTTGGCCAATATGAGGAGATAATTAGGAAAAAAAGAGCTTTATGGGGCACTTAGCATTGAACATGCTGTACAGCCATCATCTTGATAATCCTAGGCCAGGATGTGCTCAGGGAAGAGGCTGGAGTAGGCAGGAGATTGATAAATATGCCTGGAGAAAGAGGAACCAGGAAGTTCTAGCTTATAGCTCTTAATCTTCCAATAGTTTAGCACTCACTTCTGTTCCAGGCCTTGACAAAACAACCATATTGCTCTCTCCTATGGCATGAACCACCCTTGAATTAATACAATGTAAGCTTAAGGGTGGCCCTCCAGTTCTTTCTGGACTTCAACTCTCATTGGCTCAGCCAGACTGACTAAAGAACTGGAAGGAGGGGAACTGTAAGTCAGGAACAGCTGAAGAGTTAAGAGTCATCAGGCTTTCCTAAGTGTCCCTAACTTACAGCATACCTGAAGCTGTAACCTGCTACCCCAAAGGCCACATTTCACCTGAACTCACCCCTGTAATCTTCTTCTTGCACTTGACACAATTGGGGGCAAAGCGCATGTCGTAGCACTTGGGGCAAAAGATGGAGCCCTTTTCCTCAAAAAAGCCACCCTCATCAAGCATCTTCATGCATTGTGAGCAGGTGAACTCTTCTGGGTGGTAGTAGCGCCCCAGAGCCATCAGGTAGCGCCCCCTGTTGGAAAGCAAAGAGAAAGGGTTGGTGGTGGATTGGCAGCAACTCTCTTCAGTTGCTCTCTCACCAGCCTCCATTACGCACATTGCAGGAAGCCAAAAAGCACACTTCTGAGACTCCACTTCACAGATATTCAATCCTCATTAGCAAAGGCAATTCGTACATTTATCTCCTCAATCAAGTGATGAGAGAGAAAAGAGAGGAATAGCAGGCCCCACTAGATGCTGCTAAAGTACAACCGCCAGCATTTCTAAGCGCTGGCCATGTTGGCTGGGTTGCTGGAGCTATAATACAGCAGCAGGGGGAGACCTCAACGAGTTCCCCACCCTAGATGAAAAACTCCATGGCTTACCTGATGATTTTGTTGCACTGAGAACAGATGGGTGTTTTGCTAGCACTCTCCGGGGCTTGTTGTGCAGCCTGGACAATGGAGTTGCGGTTCTGCACAGGCGTTGGGGTAGCTGGCTGGCTGTGCGTGCTCAGCACAGTGCTAGTTTTATCTGGTGCATATCGCTCAGCAAAGGAAGGATCCACAGCCCAGGGTGGACGACTAGAAGGTCCTGTGATAGGTGCAGGCTTTGGAGCAGTAGAGCCTGGAGGAATTACACACAAGGTATCTGGCACTTCACGTTTTATGGGGTGTTTGTGTGATCCAAAATGGGCAAGGCTAATGCTATGATTCTATGCGGGTCACCGGGAATACCTTACCCTTCAGCTTTTCTTAAGGGAAACGAATAAATCTGCTTCTAATCTATGCATGCACAACGGACAATTAAAAATTAGCTCAGTGTTTTACAGAGTTGAAAGCTGTGGCAGCTTCCACAATCAGGAAAGGACATTCCTTTGAGGTTCCCCCCCCCCACCCCTCAACTTTCCTGCTGAGGGACCATCATTCCAGCTGCCTTTCTCCCTAGCATGCAAGGCTCCTGCTTACCATATCCAGGCTCCACTGTCAAGGCGGGTGCAGAAGGCAGATCTGGCATGGAGACCTGGCTACAAAATAACCAATTAGTTCCAAATGACCTGGCCTTTTACCTTATACTCAAGCAGAGGCTGGCCCTTCATATACATTTAACAGAGGAGAGAACCCAACCTAAATTCTTAGGCTTGGGAGGGAGGGGGGGTTCCCCATTCTCTATTCCAGGCAGGAATTAAAACCAGGACAAAGAAAGCATAGGCTGAGTTCTCTGTGTAGCAGTGACCCCTGTTGGCTGGTTTGGTTCCCCAAGGTAAAGGAAGGGGAGTTCATGAAACTAAATGGCAAGTGTCAGTTCTGAGCCCAAAAAGTCCAAAGCTGGCTGAGAAGAAAAGTATTCTTCCAATTTATGTGGAAAGGTGGCATCCCTCTTTTGCCCTCCACAGGACCAAGGACAAGTTCAATTTAACTAGCCTCAAAAGAAGGTTTAAAGAACTACTGTACATAGCGCTGAGGGCAGGGACTGTTGTCTCCACATACCCTCAGAAGAAAGAACATTTATTCCTCTGTGTAGTTTCCCTTCCTAAAAAGAGACACAGGAAACAACAGCCAGCTCTTCTCCAAGCCCACCACATTCCTCCAGGGCAGTCAAGATTGAGTCAAAGGCTGTGTCTTGCACGCTTACAAAGGAAACCTCTCTTAAATAGTTGTTCTGTTGGGGCAGTTCCTGAGTCATTAAACAGTGATATAGAAACAGTGCCTGGTATTAATGTTGTAGAAGAGCAAACTCCACTAAGGTTCCCTGCAGGAGGTGGTAGGACTGTCCCACTCAGGCGGGTTAGCAGAATTGAAGATCCAGATCAAAACAAGGCACAGAACGTTATCCAGTACTTCTGATTGAAGGCATTTGCGACTAAGTCAGGAACAACAGTAGTTGGCAACTTTTACTTACACTTAAGCTGTGTCTGGTGTAACTGTCAGGAGGAAGCTTTATAAAAAAACCAAGCTGCTTGAAAGCACCCACAGAACACCCCATCTTTTCTGAATCATACTGGAGTGATGCTGAACTATATTCTTAACATTTTAAGAAAATTAGCCAACCCAGCTCTTGCTACCTTTATCTCTCTTTGATGATTACATGCTTTTTGTGCTTTTTGTGATATCTGATAAAGTATGCTGGGAGGACAGGGTGAGGATGTGATGTATACTTTGGTACAGCTTCGTGCTGTTTTCACACACAACTCTAGTCAGTGGTGTTTCAATGGGATCATATGCCCACCCCAAACCAACAGGATAATAGGACCATGCTAGATTTCCCCAGATGTTCAGGCCTTGTGCCTGAAAAAAGGACATCCAGCTTATACATAGATCATTGAGTAGAAATAAATCATCAGTGTAGAGCTTAGAGGGACATTTCAAGGCCAAATACTACCGCAGGGAGGTCTGAGGCAGAGAAGAGGTGAAATCAAGTGGCAGTTTGTGTTTGTGTGATGAATCACAGAGGAAGCCACCTCAGCCCTGGAGCCGGCCTTTCCCAGCAGATGATCCAGGAGGAAGAGAGCAAGACGCTACCTGCACTTCAGCAGAAAATGCGGCCTGCAAGGAGCAGCGGGCCTGCACCGGAACAGAAGCTCACCAAAAATAGAAAGATAAAGAACTGAAGAAATGTCAAATGAAGTAAAGAGGCAGAGCACACTCCTGGAAGGGAAACTAAAACACAGATATCCCAGGATGTTCATCAATTATTTCCTAAAACACCTCCTCAGGGTGCAAGCGCACAGCCGCCCCCCCCCCCACCCATCCCATGCAACAACTGTGGTATGTGATTTTATCTAAACTCTACCATTCTGATTGAAAGTGATGGACTGTAGATCTGAAAATGATCACACACAAACACCTTTAAAACACGGAGGCAACGTTTCTTCACATCAGAGACTGTCATGTTTGGGGAATCTCACATATTTGTATCACCAGGCAGGAAACAGAGGGGCTTCTCTCTCACTCTCTCTCTCTTTTAACACAGATTGTTCCATACACTTAAGATCCCCCACCTGCAGTGAAAAGTGGCACAGCTCAGCAAGATCTGCCCCACATCCTCCCAGGCTGAAGAGAACAAGGGAATGCTGGCACCTTAGAGAGGCTGTGTAGTGGTTTGTTCTGCTCTAGATCAAGGGACTTTGTCCTTTTCTTTAAAAAAAAAATCCACATTTACCTCTACTCATACAATGATTTGCCCAAAGGGTATTTTTTGTTTCTCTGTTCCATGATAAGAACAGAAGGCTCAACCACCATCCTGTTTCTTACTCACTATCTAATAATGTAATCCTCAGAAAACAGTCCACAGAGGAAAGGGGGGGGGGGAGAGAAAACTCCAGATTGCTGATTGGTTTCTGCCCCCAAAGATGCCAAGATAAAACGGCATCTGAAAACACTTATTTCTTAAATATATATATACAGCCATAACTTCCAAAGACTCACAGCTATTAGCATCACAACAAAAACCAGACAAAACAATAATTAAAATATCCCTAGTAAAATAAATAAATATAAAGAAAATGAGGAAAGAAACAGTAATCAAGTCATAAACAAAAGTCTATTGTTCATTAGTTTATGGAAGGCTACCACAGACAGAGCTAATCTAGAATAATCCAGAATACTTGTACGATTACTAAGAAGTGTCTCCTGGACTTCACCTCACAAATATGGGACGCTATCAACATATTTCCTCAGGATAGTTGTATTAGATAGGTCAATTCTAGTTGGAGAAAATGGTTTCGCAAGATACCAAAGTGGCAAACTATTAAGTGTTTTACAATGTAGGTTAAAACCAGCAGTTCGTCTTCCACTCATAGTACAGATATAATATGCTCATGGCCCAAAAAAAAGGTAGATACCAAAGGGACCACTGTGTGTGCTCGAACCAACTGCAGTTACTGAATGGTCTTCAAAAGCAATCCATGCAGATCACATTGCAGTATTCCAAACAAGCATTAACAAGGGCCCAAGTCTCCATTATGGTCACACTCAAGATAGGGTTACAATTGGCATACTAAATGAAGATACAAACCTCTCCTAACCACAACTAACTACATCTGCCCATCTCATCCAGCAGAAGGTTTCCAAAATATAGATCTCCTTCAAGCATAGTGCTCCATCCCCCGTCCCACCCCAAGAAAACACTGGAACCAACAAAGAACCTCAGTGAACAAACAGCAACTTCACCAGTGGATTCATCTTTAACCTCCTGTTTTATTCTATGCAGGACGCAAAACCTCCAGACATCAGGACAAGGCTTCAGTGGCATCTCTGGCAGGCCCAGGATAGTAAGGTATTATCTGCATATTTACTATCTCACCTCTGAACAGCGGATTACCTTTTCCAGCAGCTTTATGTTAATGCTAAAAAGACTGGAAAAGATCAAACCTTGTGCCACCCCACAAGGGAATGATTATTGACCCAAACTGTTCTCTTAATGTCAACCAACTGGAACTGAGGAAGAAACAGTACCACTGTAAACAGTGCTTCTACTCCCCACAATTAACAGTCCTGAAGCCACAAAAAAGTCTCTAAAAGGATCATGAAGGATGCACCACTTCTGTGCAAATCTCAATAAAATCATCAGTTTGAGTGGCCAACTCCAGCTCTGTCCTATGCTTAAAACTAACCTTTAACTGAAATACATTTAAATAATCTGCTTCTACTAGACTGGTCTTCAATGAATCCTTGACAAACTTCTCCCCAGTGAGTTGGACTAGAACAGATAAACAAGCACCCAAAGGTACAAGAACATGAGAATTACTGTGGAAAGGCTAAGAAGCCATTGCAAAACAATTCCAGCATTTGCTGGGTGTTAAATGCAATTTCTACTTGTAGTCCAATCAATATTTAAATTCTTGCATCTTTCTCCTACCTGCTCAGTATACATGCCTGCAAGAGACTCTCTTTCGGGTGGAATGGGAAGTTTTCATTTGATCCATGTTTTGATAACAGCCAGATGTGGTATCAAGTTGTTTGTTTTTGCTTGTGTGAGAACAGTTCCCAACCACCCACTCAAAAACCTTCCTTAAAAGGAGGTGTCGAATAGCTGTCAAAAATAACCAGATACTGTACGGGCACAATCTATTATCCACGAAAGCCTCCTTCAAGACTGCTGGTATTGTCATCTTCCAAATCCAGCCAGTTATGCCCCCACCAATACTGTAGGTCAAAAGGATAATATGGTAAGGTGTCACCTGAATCACCTCACTGGGCATCACCCATAAAGAGTCAAAACATCAGCAACTCTGAGTAAATATATCAGAAAATGCTGTGTGAAACAGCTACAATGGCCAAGAGGGAACTACACCTATTCATGCTCCCCAAGAGAGACCTAGACATACAAGATGAAGCTTCTAATCAACAGCCCACCAATGCCAGTTTGGTCTAGTGCAGGGGTAGGCAACCTTGGCTCTTTTATGACTTGTGGACTTCAACTCCCAGAATTCCTGAGCCAGCCATGCTGAGGGAAAAGGGAGAGGTTTTCAAGCTGAGCCATGCTGGCTGAGGAATTCTGGGAGTTGAAGTCCACGAGTCATAAAAGAGCCAAAGTTGCCTACCTCTAGTCTAGTGATTAAGGCAGCAGGCTAAAAAGCAGAGACGGTGAGTTCTAGACCTCCCTTAGCCATGAAAGCCATCTGGGTGCCTTAGGCGAATCATTCACTCACTCTCTCCTTAACCCAGCTCACCTCACAGGGGTGTGGTTGTGAGAAAATAGGAAGAGGAGGATATGTTGCACATGTTCACTACCTTGAACTATTAATAAAAATAATAAAGACAGGATATAAACAAACAAACGTAACAATGGAGAGCTGCACATTTTTACTGCCATGATAAAGATTTGAGTTTGAGCTCCCACCCATATACTCCGGTTGAGTCCTTGTTTTTCTCCGTCAACACTCCAAGTGTCACATTTTCTGCTTCATCTCTCCCAGAGTTCCTCAATAATTTAAGACATACTCTAGGAGTAGTGAATGCAGTCTTGTCAAGAGTCTGAATCACCTCTTGATGCCTGGCAATAAATGAAATTGCCTATCAGGTGCAGAGAAATTTCTCAAGTACCTCCCAGAAGCCTGCCTTGGACAGACCATTTTAATAAGCTACAGCATCCACAGAAGTCCTCAGTAGCAGTACATCTCAAATGGACCAGGAAACGATCTGATCACAACAAAGAGATAGATACGTCCTCCACATCTGGATCACAGCCCAACCATTTTGAGGAGAATTAATGTTCGATATAGGCCAATCTGCATGCATAGGAGCAGTGGTTATTTGAGACAAGCCTATGGTTGCCAGTTGCCACAGAGGCCAGCAATCTTCTAGTTCTTCCAGACCTAACCCTTAGAGCAGGGGTAGACAACCTTGGCTCTTTTATGACTCGGTGGACTTCAATTCCCAGAATTCCAGCTGGCTCAGAAATTCTGGGAATTGAAGCCCACGAGTCATAAAAGAGCCAAGGTTGCCTACCCCTGCCTTAGAGCATAGAGACTGATGTCAACCAGCACCAGAAAGTTAGAAAATTCCAAGCTTACAAGTGAACAGAGACTGCTTTCCCAACTGCATCCTAAGTGACCTTTCAGATGACACATAGGCTGATACTCCACTGAAGAACAATTGCTCACCCACGGCTTGGTTTAGTTCACCAGTGACTCAGCATCTCCAGTTTCAGTAGCCTATGCAATAATAAATAGGCGGGAGCCAGATATGAGAATAGAAGCATTTATTTTTACTACAAAATGGAAAGTAGTAAGCGAGTCTCCATCTAGACTGCAAAGTCTTGACTACATTTCAGGCACTCAACAGTGGGCGGCTACAGCACTGTACAGATAATTCTGTATCAGGCACGTAGGCCAAACATTGACAACACTCTTACAACACAGAACTGTAGTCAACAGAGGAGCACGTAACATGCCCTCCATTAGGGAAAAGGACATATCTCGATGCAGAAAGAGAGAGAGAGCAATTCACCCCTCTTCCTGAGTCTGCTCTGATCCCAGCAAGAGCATCTGTATGGCACTTCTCAAACAGGGTTGTTGTTGTTGTTGTTGTTTGCAAATTAAGGTGCCTGGGTATAGATCAAGTGCAAAATAGACATCTCCAATCAAATTACGGGCAGCAAGATAGTTTTGCAATCTCTCAAGATCTCAACAGCCCACCCAGAGAGGAATGTCTATCCTTCCCTGAAGGTAGCAAACAAACCAACACTCATAGCCAAGGGAGCAAGGAGAGGGAAAGGATAACCATGGCAGGGTGGAAGACCGGAGGGAAGACCCATTTTCTCTAACAGTTGTGGAGAGGCAGAAAGGGGGGGGGGGTGTTACCTGGAAAAGAGTGTTTCTCCATTTCCAGTCCAGTGCTGAGAAACTATATCAGAAAGCGGCAATGGTACAGCCTTTACTGTTCCAAGATTCTATGCCGCCCAAGGAGATTTTTGAGTTGGTTAAACTGAGAACTACCTGTGCAGGTATTGGAGACTAAGACCAAGGCTCAAAGACGAATTACACTACTGTGTTTCCTTGGGGCAGTCATTCTTCCTGCACCCAGCCCTGCATTATGACTGCATTGTGAGGAAAGGGCAGAGAGCCAGCCATGCATGTGATCTTACATCTTCCTTGGAAGAAGGCTAGTTTATAAATGTCACAAATGCCTAAACAAAAACAAATGGCTAAAAATGCCACCTTTTCCTGTAATGCTTATTCAGGAGGGAATTTTTTTTTTGACAGCTCATAAAAACAAGGCACAGCCTGAGAAATCCAGATGTTCTTTCTTGCATTGGTAGAAAATGCCAGCTGTATAGGGGTACATGCTGTTTCTTAATTCGGGAAATAATTCCCACTTCAGTGGAAATAGCTTCCTTGCATCAGAACCTTTCTTTAAGGTGGGGAATCTAGTCCTCCTCTCCAATGGTAAAGCTGGATCCTAAAGTTTCTTTCCACAGGTGCAGGAAGTGAGGCGTGGAATTCAAAGTGCGAGTCTGTAAAACAAAAGTCTCCTGCTTATTTCTCATTCCTAACTAAGTAATTCTCCAGCACAGGATCAATCCTTACATTCCAGGAGTTGGGGGGAGGGGGGGGGAAACTTCCTATTTTCAAGTTACACTCAACAGCCGGAAGGAAGCAGGCAGAAATGTGCCTTCCCTTGTAACATCTGCATGGGCATACAATCAACAGAAGGGCCGAGTCAGAAGAGCAAGACAAGATCAGTCTACACATCCTAGGAGAGCACATTCAAAGAGGTAGCCGATCGCTGGTGGTGCCAGTCACGCAGGTGAGTGTAACGGGGGCTCTGGAGTTCCAGGACAAACTTTTCTCTGGAAAAAGAAAATGAAAGGGAAGACAGACAGTGGAGAGGAAACAGTAGTGGGGGGGGGGAGGAAGAGGAGAGAGAAACAGAGTGCATGCAGAACGCGCATCACACAATGCCCAACCTGTTTCAATGGTACCCCATCCTCAAGGGGTACCATCCTCTCTCTCTCTCTCTCTCTCTCTCTCTCTCTCTCTCTCTCTCTCTCTCTCTCTCTCCCCCCCCCCAGCAGACAATAATGCTGTGAAGCAAGTTATTCATACACCACGTCAAATCAGTAACAATTAAACAACAATTTAAGCCAGGGGTAGGCAACCTCGGCTCTTTTATGACTCATGGACTTCAACTCCTAGAATTCCTGAGTCAGCTATGCTGATTCAGGAATTCTGGGAGTTGAAGTCCATGAGTCATAAAAGAGCCGAGGTTGCCTACCCCTGATTTAAGCCATTAGCTTATGATCTAGTCTGTCATGTGAACCCAGAAAACTGGCTTGATAAACCATGGTTAACTATGGATGTATTTTACGAACTATTTGTGGTAAGAGAGAAAAAATATCTCTATAAGCAAGTCTGAAACCCTAAACTCATCTCAGCTGCATCCCTATAGCACTTGAGGAACTCAGGCAGAAATCCTCCAGCTAACCCTAAGAAATCCACGCCCCAAAGGTCTGGCCCTTCTTACCTGGCCGCCTTAAGATGCTCGTCATCTGGGTCTCGCACTGGCAGCAGAAGAAGGAAAGGAGAAAGAGAGAGAATCAGAGTTTGGGCCAACCAGGTTGGCACATGGAAAGAAAAAAACAAGATTTAATTAGGGCTATCCCCAAGAGAGATGGGGTCTGGGCATAGTAGTTGGGGTGAGGGAAGCAGAAGGAGGTGCCTGCAGAACATTTAGCTGCATCCCCAGACAGATTGCATAAGGCCAAGGGAGCATCCGCAGGAATACAAGGGGGGGGAGGAGGAGGAGGAGGAGGAGGAGGAGAAGGAGGAGGAGGAGGAGAAGAGACAATGCAAGCATCTTACACTGACCATGGAGACTGAGCGAGAGAAGGACCACAGCTGTCACCAAATCTCAGGCACCACTGCACCCGTTTCCTGAAGTGGCAGATCTGAAAAGCTTGCAATTTCTCCTGAGTCTCTACCGGGAACTGGCCACTGCCAGGGATGGGGAAATTGCCGTGGCCCTTAAATAGTTTCCACCGAAGGGGCACTTACTGAATTCTGTTCCTGTGAGATGGGCCAGAATGCGGAAGGAAGGAGACTGAGTAATCCCAGTCCGTGGTCGCCAGTCCTCTGTGTCCTCAATAAGTCTCTTTTTACTGGCATCGCTGGGAAAGAAAGCCGGCAGGCTCACCAGCCGCAGAGAGTGCCTACAAACGGACCAGGGCACTCAGCCACAACTGCACTAAAAAGAGAAGTTGCCAGCCATGCATTGCACACAAACACACACACATACACACAGCAATGAATCAAGACAAGGCCACTCTAAAGGGCCGGATAAATAACCTGTCCTTCAGAAGTAATAATGAGATCCTGAAGCTCACCCCATCGGTCCCCTGTCCACAGTGGTTATTAATTTTCTGTAGCTAAAGAAATACATCAGCTGGAATTGCAGATGGCTGACAGTCCAGAGAGTCACAATCTTAACGGATATGAAGGGTGAGGGCTCCGAAGGCTGCTTTTAATATCCTTCCCCGCTCCCGTGATTCTACTTACTGGGAGGAAGGGAGACCAGGCGGACCATACTCTGGGAGGAAATAGGAAGCTCTCGTATTTGCACTTCCTTCAATCAGAAGGGAAACCTTTTCATCAGGGGGCTGATCACCTGACTGGGGAAAGCTAGAGAGCTGATATGTCACTGTTAGCATCAGTGGCAAATTATTTTCTAAACGCTGCTCAGCAGTGAACATAGATGGGCTCTGAGGAGCGGCACACAGCTGACTATCCCTGATGTAAAGCTGCAGCCATTTTCTCACCTCTGATTAGGACGTACTGCTTCCGAATATGAAGGCGATGATTAGGGAATATAAGCGGTAGCTGTGAAGTGATTTATTCTAGGTCCTTTCTGTATCAATGTCTTCAGCCCTTTCTGTGGCCATTTTTTAAAGCAAACCCTTAAAATATAGAGTGTCTGCCTGTACAGCTCTTACTGTGAACTAAATCTCATTTTGTTTTGTCCCGATTAGTTGTTAAACGTCAGCAAAGTTCAGACCTTGTTGTTTTTTTTCCCCTAAACCAATCAATGCATGGAAATCCTTTCTGCAGGCCAGAACAAGGGGGGGAAATGTGTGCCAGAACAGCCAGCAGATTGTAAGAAATTCCTTCCAAAATCCTGAGAAGCAAAGAAAGACTATTTGTGTGGGGATAAGGGTGTGTGAGTGTGGGGTTTATGTGGGTGTGTCCTGGCAACCCCCCTCTACAGAAAGGCTACAAAAAAAAACTAGTGCTTGCTACCCTGAACATCACCAAAAACCTTCTGGTTGTCTGCTGTAAACACAACAGCCATTTCGTAATTGTAAATTGCAATCTGGCTGGAGGGAGGACGCTTCACAGTCTTCAAGGCCTGGCTGAGGCTCCCCATTTGACGGAGGGGAACTATAAACCCAAGGACATGCAAAGCAGTACAGGTAGAGAAAACAGGACAATCAAAGAAAGCAGGAACACTTTAATCCTCACCTAAAGAATGGCTCAAGAGAGAGATACCTCAAAATATATGATCCCACAAAGGAATCACCTCAAGAGGGAAAACTGGATTTTCTTTCGAGGACGGGAACCACCAACAGTTAAACTGTAATCAGGAGTTAAATATGAACTGCTTCATGGGCTGGTGTGTTGATTCTGAGTTAACAAAGCACTGAGTTTGTTAACCGGACTACTCCAGTGCTGCTAGATTAGGGCATTAGGCAGTTACAGGGCTAGCTAGACCAGGGGTAGTCAACCTTGGCTCTTTTATGACTCGTGGACTTCAACTCCCAGAATTCCTGAGCCAGCTTAGCTGGCTCAGGAATTCTGGGAGTTGAAGTCCACGAGTCATAAAAGAGCCAAGGTTGACTACCCCTGAGCTAGACTAATGTTTTACTTTGTGAGAGAGACAGACCTTGAATCCTGAGCGTCCGTGTCATAAAGTGGCCTAGTTTGCCAGGTGACGCTCTAATACAGTGATGGCGAACTTTTTAGAGTCCGAGTGCCCAAACTGCAACCCAAAACCCACTTATTTATCACCGGGTGCCAGGTGGGCGTGGCTGTGGTAGTCATGGCAGATTGGGTGGGTGTGGACAAGGTGGGCGTGGTCACCTTGATGTTGCTCATGGGGAGGGACGCCTGTGGGGGCCGGGCAGGGTTGGGGGAGATCCCGGGGGTCTCTGGCAGGTGGGGTGGTGGGCAGGAGGCTCATCCTGCTGGGTGAGGCTAGGCAAGGCGAGGCAGGGCGGGGGTACCATTGTCATAGGGCAAGGAGAGGCAGGGGCCAGGGCGGCTGCTGCCTGACACCATCAGCCACTGCACACAGAGGCCAGTGAGTGCATGGGTGCTGGGATACATCTGGCCATGTGGGATACATCTGGCCATGTGGGACCTCGGCGAGTTAGCGGGCGGCTGGTTGAAGAGGGACGGTTTCCATCTCCGGGGCATGGTGCACGTGCCCACAGAGAGGGCTCTGAGTGCCGCCTCTGGCACGCGTGCCATAGGTTCGCCACCACTACTCTAATATATCCTCTTAACCCGAGTTGTTTTTTTTTAAAAAAAAGACTTGAATTGTAGCCATAGGTGTCCCAGGGCTTGTTCCCGGTAACTTTGGAGAGGAACATTTGCAAGCTATGAGGCAAGAACATCCAACATGCAGTACAAACATTACTGACAGAGCCATCCTAGCCCTGGACTCTATTCCCAAGTCTTACTGGTCCTCCAGGTAGTAATCTCCATAATCAGGTGGTGGGTTATCTGCGGGCACAGCCTTCACCTCAGGTGGGTGAGCAGTCACCCTGAGGACAGGAATAGCAAAGGATAAGAGAAAGCAAAGTACCAGTCAGGTAAGAAAATATTATTCCCTCCCAACATAGCAAGAACATTCACAGGTCTGCTGCTCGTAGGGAGCAGTTAATGTCCCTGGAGATATCTGGAGCTTCCCTGCGGAGGAGAGAAGCCACAAGCTCCCTGCCAAATTTAGCACCAATTCCTCACCCTTATCTAGGTCAGGCAGTCACAGTTATAGATGAATGTAGACTAGGAAGAGCTGCACCAGACTGCTGTCCCAGCTGCAGGCAGAAGCACCAGAACCCTCTTTTAGAAATCAAATCTTTTTGGTAACCTTGACCTTAAGGCAGGGGTAGTCAACCTTGGCTCTTTTATGACTCGTGGACTTCAACTCCCAGAATTCCTGAGCCAGCCATGCTGAGGAGAAATGGAGAGGTTTCCATGCTGAGCCATGCCGGCTCAGGAATTCTGGGAGTTGAAGTCCACGAGTCATTAAAGAGCCAAGGTTGCCTACTCCTGCCTTAGGGTAATATGGTTTCTTGCCATATAAAGAGGTCTTTTCACCTCCAATTATTCCAATTCCCAGGAAAATGGCAAAAACAGGACCTTCCTGCATGAAGAGGATTTGATCAAGAAGGTGCAAATGAATTCTGCTTTTCTTGCTAGGTGAAAACAGCCCATCTAAGCCCGTTGTGGGCTTTAAAGCTCTCTATCCCCTCCCATCAAAACAAACTTAGGTTTTCTTTAGGAGAGGAGAATTTCCCACTCCTTTCACCACCATACTCCACCCCCCAAAAATGGGGTGATCTGGGAAAGGAGAAATCTGACATGGAAAAACATCATGCAAATTAGCAAAAAAGGCTACAGAGAAGACCAAAAGCTTACTGACTTGTCAGGATTCTGTGCCTGCAGGAGAGAAAAAAGAGGGAAAGAGAAAAAAGACAGGAAAGGCAGACAGATTAGAATCAAAAGCAGAGAAAACAATGCTCCCCTACTCTCTGAGTAGGCAACAGGTGGCCTTCAATCAGGGCATCCACAAGAGTCAAAGCAGCAGAATGGCAGGCACAACCAGCTGATTGAAGCCCAGCCCTTTTTAACATGCACTGCAGGCAAGTAAAAAGGAGCAAGGCTGTGATCACCCATTTTGATTCCACTGACACCCCTTCCAACCCTGGATCCCCCTACTTCTGTTATCTCTAACATGACACCCATCTTAACCAGGAACTGAAACCTCAGCATATTTGGAAGGCTCCAATTTGAGAAAGAGTATATTAAATCATGACAGGTGTAATCACCAATCATCATAGCCTACAACAGTGATGGCGAACCTTTTAGAGACCGAGTGCCCCCAAACCACCCAGCCCCGCCTCCTGCCCACCATCCTCTCTGCCCCCACCCCGCCTGCCCGCAGAGCCACCCACCGCCTCCACTGCCTGCCACAGATCGCCCAGGCGGCCCTGCAGCACCATGGCAGCCACGCCTTCTGCCCGTGTCCCGCAGCAGCATCTGCACGTGAAGGGGCATGAGGGCGGAGTCTTGTCCCTGCTGCCCAGCGGCCATGTTCTTGGCTGCGCTACTCCGCACAGGCTGAGCATGGGGACGACTCTCCTCCAGGGGGGCTGCTGGTGAGGAGGCCACAGGGGGAGGTGGGGCTGGGGCGACGGCATGCATGCCCACAAAGAGGGCTCCGAGTGCCGCCTCTGACACGCGTGTCATAGGTTCGCCATCACTAGCCTACAACAATGCTGAGTAAGCATGTTGTGTGGTGCAATCCCAAACAAAATCTAGGACAAGAGTCTCCCATCCAAAGAAGAAAACCCTTACTTTCTAAAAATTCTCATTTCCAAACAAATTAAGAGCAGTCCTCACTAGTTATATTTGCATACAAGTGACAGAAAGTTTATAGAAGCCCTCTGCTGAAAACTACAAAGAAAAACCTGGTCAGTTCACAATTGAGTCTTCACAACTTCTTCTGTACTAGAAATTGTTGCACAGAAAGCTATCCCTTGCTAGGGAAATGAAGTAATGTTGAAACAACTAAGTATTCTCATTAGTCCACCAGTACCACTAATTAGCTTAAATAAATAAAGTAAGAAACCAGCTGAATACACCTAGTTAGAAGAGCTCACCTAAAGCATCTTTATTTTCAGCAACCTCTGAACTGCCAACAACTTGCATGCAGTTAAGCACTTAGGGTTGTCTTCCACACTTTAGCAGCTCATCCTGGCAGAAAAAGCAGGCCAACGTTGCTGATTCCAAGCATATTCTTTTCCCCCTCTCCTTTTCCGAAGTTTATTAATTTTACCGAATTAATCCCCATCCATCCTGCATCCACCTATTTTATAAAGACAGGCAATAATGAATGTGTAGATGCAGATTACTTGCTATAATATGCTACCATTACAATCAAACTATCTGAGATAAGAATTATTTGGGATTGGTCGGTAAAAAGAATTACAGGTACAATAGAATATTTTCCCTGGGACATTGCATTATATTTCCAAATTCATCTATTGGGTTTTCCAGAACAGGTAAGAAGACTCAATTTTAAAAAGTGAGTTGTTATCATTAAAATCACAATTTACTGGGCTGCCAGTCTGACATTCTGGACTGAATGAACATCATTAAATTGGGGAATGGTTTTACTTAGGAATTGCAATATCTTTTTCCAGCCACGAGAGGTCACTGCAACATTAGAGGTTTACATTTTTCAATGGGGAGGAGGGGCATTCTTACCCACCAGGTGCCCCTCAGTGGAAAGCCACACATGCACAAGTTTGCATCCACAGGTGTATAGAGGAGGGCCAGTGTGCAGAGTTTCACAATCACATCACTACTCCACCCTCACCCCATCCCAGATGGCTAGAAGCACAGCAACATACCCATTGTGCTGTGTGGTGCAGACGGATGCAGGAGGGACATACTGCACGGGTTTCGTCGCCCGCACGGGCTGAGTGCTTGGAGCAGGGTTAACTCCAAAGGGCCGTGCTGTCTTGTTGAGGGCAGAACTGGGAGTGAAGTTATATTTGGGGAGCTGAGAAGAAGGGAGTGCGTCCTAGACAAAACACAAAACAACAATGCCCAAGCTGGCATGGCAGGCAGCATGCAAGAGCACCCAATAATCAGGCAGAGCCAGAGGCCACGGTGTCCCGGATGGAAGCCAGGCCATTCTTTGAGCACCAAGGCAATAAATACAAGCTGGCACAGAGCAGCTGCAACGTAAGCCAGTGGTCCATCTCTCTCTGCCTCTGTTTATTCCTAAACGGGCACTGCCTTGTTCAGCAAATCCCTTCAAGGGCAGAAAGGGCCCCTCTATGGCTGCCCAGAGGGTTTGCAGGGAAGCAATCAAGGTAATCAACTGCTTTCCATCCAAACAGTGGAAACAGGCATTTACACGGGCACATGCTGACGTTTTAAGGAGCAAAACCAAACCATGCAAGTCTCTTTCTGTAAGCTTCATCTCGTTTCCCTCTTCCACCAATGGACCTGACAAAATGAATGGGGTCTTCCAGGGCAGCCCTACCAAGATCTTGGAGAAGCCAGGATCTGACTGTTTGCCTCACTACTGCAAGAAGCAAAGACCCTGATTCAGGGATCAACATGCCCGCCCCCTACTTGTAGCTTCAAGCTTAATCCCCATTTGTCCCTGAGAATTGTACACAGCTACGCCAGGATAATGCCCACATCCAATTTCTGACTTCTGAAGTACAATTTAAAAATAAGCTAACAATGAGCAGTGAGCCGGAAATTCAGGAAGGGGGGAAAAAAAACAAAAGATCCTGCATTCTATAGTTCTTTAAATTGTCATCCTATATCAGAACGTCACACTTACATAAAATTAAAACACCAGATTAATTCTAATTCTTAGATTAATTCTAAGAAAGAGTATAAGGAGAGGAGAATTTATTTATTTATATACTTAGTAGTCCTCAACATACAACCATTCATTTAGTGGCCGTTCGAAGTTACAACGGCACTGAAAAAAGCGACTTATAATCAGTTTTCACACTTAACAACTAACTGTTGTGGCATCCCCGTGGTCAGGTGATCAGAATTTGGAGGCTTGGCAACTGGCATGTACTTATGACGGTTGCACTGTCCTGGGGTCATGTGATCACCATTTCTAACCTCCTCAGCTGGCTTCCCACAAGCAAAATCAATGGGGGAAGCCAGATTTACTTAACGACCGAATGATTCACTTAGCAACTGCAATCATTCGCTTAACAACTGTGGCAAAAAAAGATCATAAAACGAGAGAGAGAAAAAATCACTTAACAACTGCCTTGCTTAGCAGCAGAAATGTTGGGCTCAGCTGTGTTCATAAGTTGAGGGCTATCTGTATCATATTTAGCAACCACTCATCTCCCTCATAAAACGACTCTGGGTGGTTTGCCAAACTCAGATGCAAAAACAAACAAAACACAGCATTTCTACTCATTGCTGAGAGATTCCAGTTGGAATTATTCAGGAACTCAGCATGAATGTCCATTTAGACCAGGGGTAGGCAACCTTGGCTCTGTTATGACTTGTGGACTTCAACTCCCAGAATTCCTGAGCCAACCATGCTGGCTCAGGAATTCTGGGAGTTGAAGTCCACGAGTCATAAAAGAGCCAAGGTTGTTTACCCCTGATTTAGACTAAGAAGGCTCTCTTTATACCTCAAGATACCTATATCTATTATTCTTTTGGTTATTAAAATAACTATCTGAACAAAGATTGTCTGGCTTAGTTGCAAAATGTCGCATGATCAGAACTTTCAAACTCTGGAATATTTTTCACATTTCTATCCAAACTATATATGGACATTTATTATCCTGCTTTTGAAACCCATTATGTAACTATGCATTGCAGTTTTCTCTGTAACTAAGAGGCCACCTCCAACCTTATTTCACAGTTTCCCAAAGAGAAGTGAGAGACACAGATAGAAACAGCCACAGACGCACCTTCTGAGGTTTGCCTAGGAGATTCTGGACTCTGCAAGAGAAAAAGGTTGTTAACAGAGGCACTGCCTAAGAGGTTGAATTCAGCTACACAAGTTACAATCAAAGCTTTCTGCAAATCAGCACCTTTGCTGCAAGGGATCTACGTTGCTGCAACCATCTGTAACCATGGAGAGCTAAAGCAAATTAGTATATGCAATGCAGCTCCTTTCACACCATAAGACATCTGGAAAGGAAGCTTCGGGAGAGAACAGTCATGAGAATTTAGATAGTTCAATGAGTGTGTCTGTTGTTGTTTTTTTCCTCCAGACTGTCTGGAAATTCCTGCAGTGAAGAAACAGTATTTCTCCTTTGCATTCTAACCTACTCTCTTTAAAAAAAACGATTTCATCACTTCAGATCACTCTCTTGTAAATATCACCTTGGGTATTTGCATACTCTATGTACTTCCATACTGCCAAAAGAGTAGCAAAGATTCTATAGTCCTTGTTTAAAGACTGCCTTGGATAGCAATCATTCAGTTACTACAGTGTTGAACAAGTAACTTTGCAAGCAATCATCATTTATGTCAGTGGTTCTCAACCTTTTTAATGCCGCGACCCCCAACTGGTCGTAAGTCGAGGACTAAACCGGTCGTAAGTTGAGGACTAAACCGGTCGTAAGTCGAGGACTAAACCGGTCGTAAGTTGAGGACTAAACCGGTCGTAAGTCGAGGACTACCCAACCGGTCATAAGTCGAGGACTTTCCCTGCCCGGGAGCGCTGCGCATGCGTGGTTCCGCCCCCTGTGCCGGCCGAGGCGTAGCTGGCAAGCGGCAGAGACGGAGCAGGCCGACCACCAGCTGGCCCAGCTCAAGGGAGGTAAGGCACCCGCTGGAAAAGGGGAAAAAAATGGCAGACAGCCTTGCTTGGTGACCCCTGTGAAATGGTCGATCGACCCCAAATGGGGTCGCGACCCATAGGTTGAGAACCGCTGATTTATGTCCTTCACAGATCCACAAAGCAAAGGAAAGCTGAAGTAAGATTGTAAGCACAGTAGTGGTTTCACTTACAACTGCTTTGCTTAACAACCAAGTGTCTGGTCACGATTGTGTTCGCTAAACGAGGACTGCCTATATAGTTGCAGACTGAAAATAACAGGGGACATAAGATGAAACTGAAATAAATCAGATGTATGGGCTTTCCTGTGCTTTTGCATTATGACAGAATCCTGACAAACAGGATTTTTTAAGAAAGGACTATATTGAATAGTAACAATTGAATAACACAGAAGAAACAACGACTAATAAGACATAAATAAAAAACATTATAGGTAACTTTCTAATAACACATTCTCCACTTCCCTTTCAGATATTTCCCCAACTACTAACCATAACTTAGATATACCGTACAAACTTATTAAACATATAAGGCTATTGCTAGTATCTGATTCAATTCTTTCATCTATTTTTTTCATTAATCTCATAACCTCCTTCCTAAAAACCGTTATTTCAAATGTCTAAAATTTTGCCCTGCTGTATAACATGCAGTCTATATGGAAGTCATTACTGCACACATGTGGTCAGACTTCTATTATGAATATATATTGTCAATTTTGCCGTTGCTGCACATACTCCAATTATGGCCTCCCAATCTGGTATCGTCAGCAAAGACCCTCTTTTCTAATGTTGTGCCAAATTTGTTCTTGCAGCTGTCAGCACATATCTTAGTGAATTGTAACATTTTTGATTTTTTTTTTCTGGGGTTGTATCCAATAAAAATGTTTGTGGTTTCAGTTTAAATTTTATTTTTAGGATTTTCAGAATGTTTTGATGTATTGCTTTCCAATACTGTTGAGTTTTTGGCATAACCACCACATACGATAAAATGTTCCTTCTTCGTTGTAACATTTCCAACATTGATTGTTATATGATTTATCCAACTTGAAAATTATTGATGGAGTCATAAACCATCTGTAAAATATTTTATATCAATTGTCCCTTAAATGATAACATGGAATAAATTTTATTATTATTTTTTTTGCCATAGTTCTTGCCATTTTTGTACTGCAGTTATGGATTGTTTGAGTTCATGTTATCTTTCTGGGGGGGGGGGAATCCTGTCACATGACTCTTCCTTCTTCCAGATGGCAAAAACATGGTTCTTATGAAGAACACATATATATTATGGCATATGTACACATACAGTGCATATTGTAGTAATTCTGTATTATCTAGATTTTTATGCAGGAAAATCACAGCCACAAGCAAATATTGCACTAATTGGTAAGAGAATTAATAAAGCTGCTGCAGAATTAAGGCAGCAGAAAATTAATATTGGGGCCAGGTTTATGCTTTAATTCAGAAGATTCTTAAAACAAATATATAACTGAAAGTAGAAGTTTTCCTTTTAGGATTATTGTATAAAGATCTTGAAAAAATTGAGCTTTGTTATTATATATTTTGACTGCAGCTAGAATTTTATATATGCAAATATACGTCAACTCCTGCAATGAAAGAATGGATGAAAAAAGTGATGGAACTAACAGAGATGGTAACGTTAACTGTCCTAATTAAGGAAAAAATGTATCCAATTTGGTTTCTACCTGGAGACTGCTTCTGGATTTTGTGCGCAAAACAGAAAAAAATAAATTTTTGACTTTGGGTTTTGATGATTCTATTAGTTTGTTATAGAATTTATAGTTGTTTATATAATTACTAATTATATAAAAGTAGAAAGCTGAGATTTTAACTTTACTCTGTATCTTAAATGCACCCAAAACGTTTTTTTCTTTCTCTCACATCTTTTCCCCCTTTTTTTCCCCTCCTCACTTTCCCAGTAGTCTTAATTTTCACTTGTTTTTTATATTAAGATAAACTCCAATTAAATTTATATTAGATAGCAGAAAAATTAAACCCTAAAAGTCACTCAGCTAAAAACAGCTAAACTGCTTTTTCTGAGACCAGAAAGCCTGTTGGGATAGCATTTCATAATTTTGGCATCACATTAAGAAGTCCATCAGTGATAAAAACAGAGCTTCCAGCACCTATCATTTAGTCTATACAAGTAACTACAATTATGAATGTTTGACTGTTAAGGGTTTCAGAATTCATAAGCAAATAAGAGGGTCATCCTATTAACTACATTCTGTACCAATTGCAGCTTCCAAGCTATCCTTATAAGGAAATCCAACAACAAGCACTGTGTTCATCCAAAAATAATTTTATTTGCCAGGTTTTGGCCAGCCCACATTTATTTTGGCTATAACGTTTTTCATGCTATCTGTTTCACAGGTGTGGAACTGAAATAATAAACAATTAACAAGCGAGGCTGTTTTGGCAGGCATTTTCCCTGCCTCTAAACTTTCAGGAAATACCAAGCAGCAGCACCACCACCGTGCTTGCTAATTGTTTATTATTCCAAATCCACACCTGTTTTCACCTAGGAATCCCTTTTGTGTAGCCTGAAATCAGCTTGGATACTTTGGCTGAAATCCATGTGAAGTCACGCTATTACAAGACAGTCAAAGCCCTTTTCTGCAGGAGAAAATGCACATCTGGAATCAGAGCCACACTGGTTATGCAGGAAATTATCTAGAGGCTCTACAATATGCTTAACAATTCTGGACACTGAGCTGTCACTTCGTTTGGGCTATTATTGTTATTCATATTAAATTTGTACACTGCTTTATCTTTCAGATGCTCAGGGGCTGAAAAAGTAAAATACAATACATGGACTAATTAAAGCAGCCAGCTAGATAGATTTCTCTCCTATTAATTCCAATGAATCTTTATTTCAGGAGCAACCGGAGTCGTAGTTTAAAAATCCAGATGCTCTGATCTAAAACTTTCTACACTGCTTATTACTTTGGTTTAAGTTTTTAAACAGGGAATGTGATGGTTGGGAATCCTTGTGGGGAAAAAAAATAGAACATGCAGATTACATTTCCTATCGGTTTGGTCTTACTCAGAAGCCTTTACCTTCAGGACGTAAAATTTAGGCAGGTGGCTGTTTGTTTTATTAAATACCAAAATGAAAGCTGGCAAGCCAGTTGCTATCCAAAAGGACTGAGTCTGAATGAAATAAACATCTGGGTGAAACCAAGTTATAATTATTCCAACATGTACATTATGTTCCTAAAAGAAAAAGCCCAGCCCAGTAAGAGCTACTTACTTGCTTAAGCTGAGAGAGAGTTTGTCCCCACAGGCACGGATCTTGTTCTGGGCTTCAATGTGGGTCATGGTGCTGGTGCTCTGTCCATCGATGCTGAGCACCCAGTCCCCAACTCCAGCCCCTGCCTGGGCTGCCTTCCCCCCGGGGGTGAGCTGCAAGGAAAGAAAATGTTATTCCCAATATGAAGACATCATTAATGGAACCTATCACAAAAATCCTTCCAATGCTAATAAGCAATGGAGCTGGATCAGGAGAAATGGAAGCGGACATAACTCTTGTTTTTCTCTATGCCATTATACTTTTTGCTAAATTACATGTGTAGTAAACTTATTTATTCCCAAAGAAGTTTCTTAAAAGATAACGGTGCTTGGGGAGGAGAGTGATATAGCAAGCTAAGGGACATCCCCAAATGGTGGCAACCCATACCTTTGCTAAGTCATATTTCTCAGTCTCCCCAATCTCAGAGGGACATTTCAGAGTGGTCAGACAAAATATCCATTTTTTTAAAGTTTGTATCCGCTACGGAACACCTATTTTCTTTACAACCAAGAGACTGATTTACGTTTTCAGGCAGATCTTTTTAAGTTTCAATAAAAGATGATTTTGTCATGAGCTAAGCCAGAGATGCTTCTGCTATTGGCTCTGTCTTCCTGATCCTTGAACTCTAGAGCTACTCCTTCATTGTTTACAAGCAAACTGGACTGATGCTATCTTTCAGCAAGAAGACAAACCACTAACAGTAAAAAGCAAACATCTTTTACAACTCAAATAGTCCGCCAAAGATTTGCTTATCATCAAGTTGTGTCTCCAAAACTTTCAAATGTGTTAGTATCGTTTTATACTGCACTGATAAGACCACACTTGGAATACTAAGTTCTGGTCACCACGATACAAAAAAGACATTGAGACTCTAGAACAGTGATGGCGAACCTTTTAGAGACTGAGTGCCCAAACTGCAACCCAAAACCCACTTATGCATCGTCGAGTGCCGGGTGAGTGTGACCCATTGAGTGGGCGTGGCCCATTGGGTGGGCATGGCTGAAGTGGTAACGTCAGACTGGGTGGGACTAAAAAGTTCAATCAATCAATTCCAACTTTGCAAGACTTTTTTTTTCCCCGCAAGAAGTTGAAATTGACTGATTGAAGCATAGGTTCGCCACCACTGCTCTAGGAAGAGTACAGAGAACAGCAACAAGGATGATTAGGGGGACTGGAGGTTAAACCATAGGATGAACATTTGTGGGGATTGGGAGTGTCTAGTCCAAAGGCCTCCGGCCCTCCGGAAGGTTCCTTCTGGCCCACCCACCTCCTCCCATGTGCTGTGCTCCCATCCTTTCCAAACAGTGCAGGGAAAGCAGGCTGTGTTCACCACTGTTTGGAAACGAAGGTAGGATTCCCTCAGTTTCTCTGATGGAAGAGGGTGTGCGTGTGTCATATTACATTGAGCAAAATAAAAACACACTTATTCGATTAAATTTTATTCACTCATTTGTAAAATTGTTTCCCCCCCCCATACTTGAATCTTTGCAAAATGCCCAATGTGGCCCTCAGACTGAAAAGTTTGGAGAACCCTGGTCTAGTCTAATGAAGGGAAGGAGTAGGGATGCCATGATAGCAGTCTTCTATGACTATAAGTATAGGGCAGGGGTAAGCAACCTCGGCTCTTTTATGACTCATGGACTTCAACTCCCAGAATTCCTGAGTCAGCTATGCTGACTCAGGAATTCTGGGAGTTGAAGTCCATGAGTCATAAAAGAGCCGAGGTTGCTTACCTCTGGTATAGGGTTTCCTGCTCAAGCAGGGCGTTGGATTAGAAGACCTCCAAAGTCTCTTCCAATTCTGTTATTCTGTATTCCATAACAGTCCCCAACCTTTTGGGCACCAGGGACCAGTTACATGGAGACAGAATTTTCCGTGGACCAAAGGGGGCGTGGTTTTATGTGCTGCCTGCATCCTGCAGATGGGGCTTTGCTTGTTTGTGCGGACCGGTTGCTGGCATGCCACGGCCCGATACCAGTCCACGGACCAGGAGTTGGAGACCCCTGTTCTATAAAATTAAATATTACAGTACTACCAATGCCAAACTCAGTAGATGTATTATTGTAGATGCATTACATGTCCATGCCAGAGAAAAATAAGTATTATAGTAGAAGTGTCCATTCCAGAGAGAAATAAGCGTAAGTGGGCTAAAGTATTCATTGTCATGTTTCCTTTACTATGGAGGAAAGGTCTTGCCTAGTATTTTTTCTTTCACTAAGGAAAAACAATAAAAACAAATACACAAACAACACGGTCCTCATAGCTAGTCTCATTCTGCTCAGGGCATTGAAATAAAAACAGTTTCAGACATGGAATCTGATAAATCCTTTGATCTCTTTGAGGCTTCAGGCAGCTCAGAAAGCAATCCTTTTTTTCATTAACATCTTCCTACCACAATATCCTAAGATGCAAAGGGTGCTAAGATTGCCTTCCTGCCTAGAGCTTATTCAAGAGGGTGTTGGTCTATCCTGCCTAATCATAATAAATACAGAACAAGTTCCCTTTTCTTTCAGCGCCCCATTCTTTGATATCTGAGTCCGTTCCATGCTAAATCTCTTTGACCAAATGTGCAAATATGCAGCTTCGTTTCCAAGAGCAAAGGATAACAAACATCTTACCCATTTCTTTTCCTCTCTTCTTTTTCTCCCATTATCCCTTTCTCTGATTCTTAGGAAAGTATTTTTAACTAGACCTTAAGCTAAATTGTACAGTAGCAAATCTGTGGCAAACCTCTATTATGTTTCCTTGGATTGGCTAACAGGGCAGTGAAAAGCAAACTGGCTTTGTGTACAATGAAGGGAGAGCTCTAACTATAGTACTTACTAGCAATCCTAAAAAGAAAATGATTCTGGGCTTTCGGCCAGGATTAAAAGAGAAAGGGAGTTGCAGCATTACATTAATGTGTTGTAACTGGTCTACCTTAAGAGGGAGTTGTAGTCATGGTTTCATCACATTAGTTTTTGTAGAATTTTTCAGGGCAGCTTTACAAGATAGTTATCAAGCTGATTTTTATAAAAAAACAAAAAATACAAGTCAATATAAGCGACCAAAGCAACATAATGATGGATTAAGAATGAATCTGTACAAGATGAGAGCTAAAAGAGGTAAATGGTATGACCCAGGATGCTACCACTGTAATATCTGTACAGATGTAGAGATTTTGGTAGGTGCTAAATTTTTAAATCCTGCATCAGAAGCCGAATCTTGCAGAAATGATAGCTGGCAACCCCAGCAGGTTTTCCATCACCCTTTGCAGCAGTCAAGTTATCTGAAGCCATTGCAAAAAAAAATAATTGAGCAACAAATGCACAGTGGTTGAGCAATAAAGCACATTCTTTGGAAGACCCCAAGGCCTGTGGGAGAGTTTAGACTTGCTGATGAATGCAGCAAACCAGGCAGAACCACCTCAGCATAGCTGAGCAGGTGCCAGCTGCCAATCCAGAGTGGACTCCTCAGGCCTTTAAAATATGAGCACGTCAATTGTCAGCCAAGTGGCAGAGATTGTGCACCTGCTGTTATTTGTGACAGTCGGGTATTAAAGCCAGGTAAGTCCGAAAGCCATTGCCCTCTAGCAACACGCCTCCCCATAAAATATTTGGCTTCATATTCCCTTTGCTTCTATTTGCATCATTCCCAAATTTAGCAGCTGTATGCTCACATACACAAACGGTCCTTTGAGGACAGCCTAATTAAGACTACCTGAACAAGCTGACAAAACTCCTCAGCTTCTGAACACTGGAACACAGGAACCTAATTTCCTGAAAGGATACTGAATTAAAAAAAAATACCATTGGTATATTAAAGACTATTTGAAAACAGGAGGAGAAAGAAATACAAAATATTTCTCCAATTTTCAGATTGGACTGTCCTTGGCTCCACCTCTTTGCTCTCTTTCTGCCTTAATTAGACGTATTTTCACATTACCTTCTTAGAAATGCAAACAACAATCAGATTCAGAAAACAACTATCTGTACACCTAAGTCATACTATTGTAAACAATTTGAAAGGTGGCCTTCACATGAGGCTCTGAAGAGCGATTTTGTTTGCAGGATCGGCAGTCTAAACCTCTAACGGTAGAATAAAGTCTCCACTTTCCCAACAAAATTAGAATCCTCTGTGGAAATTTGGAAGCCCAAATGAAAAATGTTCAAAATTAGAACTGGGCTGGTTGCTTGTTTGCTCTGTTATTCTTCCTTCCCCATCAAAACGTCTTAAGCTAAAAAAGCAGAAATGAAGCACGTGCACCTGCCTGTTGTAATAAGTAAACCTTCCTGTGATTACAGAATGTCTGTTTAAAAAGTTGTTTTAAAATTTTGAATTTGCAGGGGGAAAAAACCTGGTAACCCCGTAAACTGGCAATTTTCTAAAACCAACAGATTATGATCATGTTGAGAGCACCTAAAGTGTGCTACATCCGCCCTAAATGATCATACAGGGAACTGGAATACCTTCCCCTCTGCTTTCTGAGTATCAGAACACAGCCACAGCCTTCTGAATTGGGCACAAGACACACTTCTGACCACAGAAAATGTAGCACTTCCAGAAAGCATAATAACACTCTCCTACTCTTATTGCCTTCCAACTGATTTTGATGGGTCCCTCCTCTTATATTGTGCAAAACAACTGAGATAGACCATGTGCATCTAATAGTCGCATCTGACATGACTTGATCTAAATATTACATCCTGTGGAAATGAATCCCACCATTTGGTGTTGTATCTATAGCAGTGATGGCGAATCTTTTAGACACCGAGTGCCCAAAAACTGCCACACACACCCCACACTCTGCCGCCCACCCTGCCCCCATCCTGCCTGCTCTGCCTTCGCACCCACCGCCTCCACAGCCTGCCACAGATCGCCCAGGCGGCCCTGCAGCGCCATGGCAGCCACGCCCTCCACCCGCGCCCCGCAGCATCATCTGCGCGCCGACGGGACGCAAGGGCGGAGTCTTGTCCCTGCTGCCCGGCTGCCATGTCCTTGGCTGTGCTGCTCCGTGTAGACTGTGCCCAGAGGTGACTCTCCTCCGGGGGGGAGCTGCTGGGGAGGCGGGGCTGGGTGACGGCACACATGCCCACAGAGAGGGTTCTGAGTGCCACCTCTGGCATGCATGCCA